TTGATATAGAGTCAGACAAGCTTTCACATGCCAGACATTCTTCATCAGGTCTGAGGAGTGAAAGCCAGCACAGAGTAGTCTTTGTCAGGTCTGAAGAGAAGAATGTCTTGCATATGAAACCTTGTCTAATTCTATCTCAACTATGCAGTTGATCCAGTAAAAGGTATCACTGTAGAAAATCCTTGCTTGTTGTATACTTCCTGACCATCACAACTACAACATCACTACACATTTTGTATAAAAGACACAAATACTTTAAGATGCCTTCTTGTAAATCTGGAACATATATAGTGACTTAATATTATCTCAGTCAACACAAGACTTGTGAGACAAACAATGCCACAATTTTATCCAAAAATTTGTCTGCTTTTTAAAAACTTATTTAATTTGTTTCTGTTATGGACTTTGGCTCTTTCCATATTTCAGCCAGTTGTTATGTCAAGAAATTGCAATTGTTTCCTTTAACTTTAACCTCTAATCTCTTGTTTTCAAATTGCTTTATCAAATAGCATTATTGAAATCGATCATATTAACTTCCTTTCAGAATTTTGTGTATTGCTATATACTGCTTTCTTCTGTGAGATTTTTCTTGTAGTCAAACTATAGTTCTAGGCCAAAGTAATTCTCTTTAATAATGGGTACACTCTGAACCTTGGACTCCATCATTATAGCTGTCCTTTGGCAAAGTTCAATTGCTCAGTGTCTGTGGTGTATTTCCTTTGCTATACCAATGAGGATTTCAACAGTTTGCTAAACTGGGTAATGCCAGATTATTGCATCTTGGGTGATAAATGTCTGCAATCTGGATTTTTACTAATTCACTCTGCCAGGGCCTGGAGCAAGTGAGGGTCATTTTTCATGTAGCAGTGTTGGCCAGGGAGGGGAATGACCAGAGTGCCAGAACAGGTCAAACCCAGGGCAACTTCTCTGCTAGGGCTTTGTGAGCTCTGACCACAATTTTAAGTTACTGTCCCATGATAGAAACCCAGGGCAGAGGGGCAGTGGAAACAGTCTAATTATTTTCTTGCAATGAATCCCAAGAGTTTAGTCTGTAAAAGGACAAGGGTTTACTCTGTAATAGGGTTGGATGGAAAACAAGAATTCCATTTCATTTCATGAAAAAATTTTGAAATTTTGACATTTGGTTTAATTTTCATGCAGAACAAAAATGAGACCTTTTGCATGTTTTTCATAAAACAGCAGAGAGAGAGACCGTCACAGAATAGAAATTGCTAACCATAGATGTTGAAGAAACATTTATGTCCCTGCTCTAGATCAGATAGAGCAGAGTGAATGGGTGTCTCTTTCTCTTTACTTAATCAGAAATCCCAGAACTAGAAAAACCTTTCATTGAAAAATTCCTGCAGAGCTGTAGTTTGTATCTCTTTGTGAAATTGGGGATGACTAAGCTCAAATTCTCTTTACCACCCTTTTATCCATTATAAGTGCTTATACATCACAAAAATATTTCCAGTGTTTTTTTGAAAACCAAGCATATTGCTGATCATGCCACTGTAACTCAGTGATGCTAAGCATCACAAGCTAGGAACATCTCATTGCCCAGATATGACCACATCACTTTTGGTGACACACCTTACAATTTGTTGATTTATGAACTTATTTAAACATTTCTCCATAGGTTTTTATCTGTTGTACCAAGTTTGCTTGTACTCTCCTAGGTGCTTTCTTTGTCTGTTGTACGAGCTTGCATTAATTGTGTCCATCTCAGTGGGTTTTTTAATAGATTTCAAATGTTTTGATGTATTCTATTGCCTTCTACAGCTCTTTACTTCTTAATTTCTTCTGCCCCAGGCCTGCCTTGTGATCAGCATACCATATTTTCTTGCATACGACATGCCCACAAATAAGACACGCACCATGTTTTGGGAAGGCAGAATGAAAAAAAAAGACTTTTCCAGAGTTATGGCTGCATAAAGCAGGGACAGAATCTAAACTTCAGCTTGCACATCATCCCTTTCCTATTCAAGTAAAAGCCTTTCACAGTTGAATTGGCAGCAGCTTGGCTGCTCAGCCAAAAGCTGAAGCTAACTGTGGATGAAGACTGGAGTCCATGGTTGTATCTAGGATTTTGAGAAATGCCAAAACAGCTTGCAGGGCTGTGAAATAGGAGGAAAGAGAATAGGGCTAGCAAACAGGCAACAAAATTTCTGAACAAAGGACTGCTTGATCTGGATTAGTGGAACATCAAGACCATTAAAAGGCATAGGGACATTAACATGTGTGGAGTGAAGAGTTATTAGCAGGAATCCAGTAGATTATAATGAGCCATCAAGTCAGTTGACTGAATCAGTGTTGTCTGAATATAAATGCATTGCTGCTAGGCATTTCGTTTTGAACTTTGGGCACACTGTATGTGTGAAAGCATTATTGTTAAAGCATAGTTCCCAAGGAGCGCTGAGTACCAGTATGATTTTAGAACATCTCTGCAAAGAGATAAGATACCTCTCTCGCTGTTTGCATATATTATGTATTACAGTGTATTTTGTTACAGTCTAGCAAATGATTGCACATGAGGACGCTTCTTTAGTTTCTTTATTTTTTCTTTTTAAAATAACCTCAGAAATTCCATTAATTAATGCATTTAAAAGGAAATTGAAGTTGCCAAGTGAAACACCCAAAGTTCCGAAATATTTATTTCTGTAGACTTTAGTGACATACTACATTTTCCCTTGGTCTAGTTATTAAAGTCAAATAAACTTTTCTGGTACTTATTTTCACTACTATTCCATATCCATATCCTGGCATTTTGTTTTTAATAGCCAACAAAAACTTCTATCATTATACACACTTGACTCAATCTCTTTAGTGGTCACAAACCAGCAGGCATGGCTCAATTTAAAAAAAAAAAAGTTTCTTCTAAGCAACCTGTGTTTAGATAGAATGTCTGCCCCTCAACTTCAGAAACCCACACTGAATGACATAAGCAGTTAAATTTAAACAAAAAATGTAACCATTCCAAGTATTGCTGCTGGGCCTGGTTGGTGTTTGTCTATTGTAAGAAGACTTGCACCCACAACTGGAGTAAGGATTCTGGCTGACAGGATTTCTCAACTGATTCCTGCACTGCTCCTTTTATTCTGGGAACTATGCTGGGTCTGACTAACAGGCAATCACTCTTAAAGGAAATGAACACTTGCATTCTGCAGAATTTTAGATTTGCATGGGTGCTTTGAGAAGGCTAGATCCAACCTTCAGGATGGGTGTTTAATATTGCTGCTTTATGTCATTTGTTGTATTCAGTACAGAGAGGCAGCATGGTCTAATGATGTGGGGCAATGCACTAGTAGCCAAGAACTCCCTAGTTATAGTCCTCCCTCTCCCACTGACTTGCTTCATAGCCTTGGGCCAGTCACTTTGTCTTCCTGTGCCTGTTCCCTACTTGTAAAACTGGACTGCTGCCTCAAAGACCAGATAATGAAGCATCTTTTCTATTTGTCCTCTAATATCACCCTATTTTCCAAATGTGGTACAATGTTAAACTTGCTGATCTGTAACTGCAAAGTTTGTCTCTTAATCCTTTTTCTAAATAATGGAGTTATGTTTGTAGCTTCCCATTGCTAAGGAATCTCTCCAAGCTCCCGTGAACTTTACAAATGTCAATTAAGAGGTCATTGGTTTCTTCACTTACTTCCTTTAAAATGTTGTTTGTCTATATATTATCCAGACTTTATTCATCCAACCTTTTTGCGACCAATTTTTTGTTATATGTACAATACACGACCCATATTAGAGCCAGAGTATAAAAATAAAATGAGCAAACTGTTTTAAGGATGCACTTAGGGCCTGATGATCACTGGCTTCAGTGGGAATTCTCATACCCACACTACTTAGCATTAGACCTTAGAAAGACTTGGGGGAAGAGAGGGTGGCCTGTGGCTAGTTAGTTGCTTTAATTCTATCATTTATTCTTTTCCTGCCTTTGGAAAATTTTACTTGGGCAGATCTCCACCTTCTTGTGGCCTTTTTAGAAGTTATAAAAGCTTTGCTTTAATTTCAGATGTCTTTTTGATCACTGCGTCTACTTAGAAAAGTTATTTAAAACAAAAAAAAGAGCATTTAAAACAAGTAAAGTAGGCCTTTAGATTTCCTCCAGATACCCATGAAGAGCCCACTGCACTTCAGCAGTGATGGCACTGTATCTGTTAACACCTCTTTGTTTATTTCTTGGTTTTTCCCTGTGCAATTTGATTGTGTTATTCTTTGTCAGAGTGCTTTCCCCCCCTTCCTTTGCATCACATTTCTCTTTCCTTTTGAGTTTTATAATCTTATAGGGCAGAATTTTGTCTTAGTAATTGCTTTAAATATCTTCTGTTTTCTGTTATTACTTTTACAAAGTGCAGAGAATTGCTTTAATGGCTTGAATTAATGCTTTGTCTCCAAGATCTTGCAGTTTATCTTTTACTGCTATAGAATTACTTCTCTATATCTTACAATCTTGGTCTTCCCTCTCCTTTCTATTTCAACTGTTCTACCAAAGTAGCCAGTGTCTTCCCAGTCAAGCTGTATGGCCAGTTCTTCATCTCCGTTTTCTTTTGTCAAAAGGTCACATCCTTCATCTCCATTTTATTTCTATTGTGTGGTTTCATGAGTCTCTATTACTTTACTACTCTTCCTATATCTCTAACCACTTGTTTAGCATCTCTGTCTGTGGCTCTTTTTTCACCTCTCTTCTAGTTAAAGTGGGTGTCTGTTAGGGTTCTGTTTTCAGTTTCATCAAAATTGTGTTGCTGAGCGATAAATAAGACTATTAAATGAGTATGTATTCTTATTACCTTAGCTGGTTTTATTCTCTTTGCAGTTTATTCAATGTTTACCTGAACTTGTGACTAAGAAAATCCTCTGTGTTCTGACTGTTACTAGTTATTGATATTTAGTCATTATCATAAAGAGGCTGATGGCAGTAGCTACATGTTAATTGATTAATGATATTTTTTCCTCTTATTCTGAACATAGACCTCTTTAATGTTTTAATTCTTTAGGCATAACATGGGGTTTCCCATAGTTGAATTTTCTTCTGATGGACACTTTATTATATCCAAACCACCAGACACAGGAGGCCTAGTCTCTTTTGGTACTGTGGCTGAACAATTGGTGTATGAAATTGGCAACCCTCAACGTTATCTCTTACCAGATGTCACATGTGACTTCTCTCAAGTGTCCATTACTGAAACTCCAGGTTAGTGCTGCTGCGGAAAGAGGACCTTCATTTTGAGTATAAAAACAGTCAATAACAGTTATGCTGGCATTCTAAGGTACTTACCATAGTTTCCACATTTTCTCTACAACTTTATTTAAGTCTGTTCTTTTGAAATACAGTTTTACCATACAAGGATTCGCTTTATACATATTTTTTTAAATGTATATCAACCCATTAAACCTGCTCCTTGACTAGCGTATATTTTTCCATAATTTATTTTCTTAAAATTAATATAACACACTTGTTAGGTCTATAAACCATCTATTTCTGCAGGACTTTAATATTTATGCATGTGTTATTGTGAAAATAGTCTTTCAGATTTCATTGAAGTTTAATTCCAGTTCACCTTCCTTTTGTTATTGATCTGCTCGCTGTCTCTCTCTTATACACACACACACACGCGCACGCGCACGCGCACACACACAGGTGCAAGCAGGTATAGGAAGTCACCACTGAAGGCATTACATAATAAAGATTTGTTTTCAATCCACTTGACTGAGTCACCTTAAAAGGAGTCATAGCTCAATTAAAAAAACAACCCATGTATATAACCACCCTCTAAAATATTATCAACTATGTCAACAGAAGCAGAAATCTTATGTTCACTCTAGCTTTATTTTTAAGTCCAAATCTGAATATCAGACTACAAGATAAAAAGTCTGGATAAGCAACCTAGTTGAACTTCTTTGAGTAATTTGTCTTTTTATTTCCCATCTATCATAGAAGGTTTTTTATACACTATAACATTTTGAACATTATAAAATTACAAAGGTTACATTTTAAGAATAAGGCTTACTGAAAATTACACAACATAATCAAATGGCAGAATGTCTGATAAGGCTAGCTTGCCTCTTTTAGTAACATTTTTATTTAAAAAAATAGAACCCTAACCTTCCAATGAACTTTTAGCTTGTAAATGACCCAATATGACACATTTGAACTTAAAATGAACTTTCACATGAACTTTCAGTTATTCCTCCTAGAAATATAACAGATGGAAAATAGGCAGATTTCTTAAATATTTTTAGTTTGAAGTTCTTTGACACGTACACCAGGAAGAACAGGGAAGGCCAGCTATTTTTTCTGTTTACATTGCTTATTTTATTGTACCACAGTGTTAGTTACAACACATACAATTCAGGTTTGAACTAAGATGTGCTACTTTGTTTTTGTTGATAGATATTGTGTTTTTTTTCTTTACCTGGTATAAAAAACCTGCAAATATTTAGTCTGATTACAGAAATATAGTTTTATAATAGAAGGGAGGCAAATAATTTAAACCAGCCTTTCTGAAGGACCATTGTTATTATTTTGAAAATGATAATTTAGATGATTATTCAAATACAATTGTTCTTCCAGATATGTTTGAAGAAGTTTTATTTTTGTTCACCTTAATTCTCTGTTTGTAGAAAGTCTTTAACTATTCTGCTGAACACCTTCATGCACAGATTTGGTAGAGCTGAGCTGCACCTTATTTCCATATGCATAAGTTTCCATTACTGTTTTTGATTAATACTGGTGTGAGGCTTTGATCCTATGCCCCTGGGTTAGGGACAGAAGTTACACATGAACCAGTTTAAGTAATATGAAACAGAACAGAAGTTCATTGCATATAAACCACTTTCAAAATGACAAAACCAGTGTAAGATAAACCTCACTAGTTGTAGTATCAGACTTAACTGATTTAGGTCAAACTAGTTTATGGAACTTCTGTTTTAGATCCCTTCCCAATTCAAGTTAATTCACAGTCCTCCACCATCCCAGAATACTTTGTAGTCCTGGGATGTGCTGTCTGCTCCAGTAGAGCAGGGCTGACCCCTCCCCCAGCTATTGCAAAACTAAGGCATTAAAGCCTCTGCTTCCTGTCAGCCTGGTGGGATGCAGGAGGGCAAGGGAATGGACCTCAAGACCACCCCACCCCCCAAATCCCACTGTCTGTACAGGACAAAGGGAAGGAAAGCTCCAGCACTGGGAGCTTATCATCCTTGCAGCAACCAGGTGAGTGGCTCGCTGGCCTAGGATCAGCTCAGCCCTGCCCCCTCTCCAGCCCCTGCCTGTGAGAAGCAGGGATTTGGGGGGCAAACGCACCAGCCCAGCTAAGCACTGGCTCCCCCAGCTGGGGTCTGCCCAGTGCTGGGGGTGGGGAAGCCCCCACTGGGGGCTTTTCACTCCCCCACAGCCTGGGTTGCCAGGCTGGAATGGGCTCATAACCACCCCTTCCCTAGCTCCCTGCCTTTGAGAGGTGGGGGAGAAGGGAGGGGAACGCACCGCCCCCCCCTGCCCCCCACATCTGCCTGGCATGAGGCAGTGAAAGTCCCCCCCAGGGGCTTTTCATAGCTGGGCAAGCCAAGTGGGGAACAGCTCCACTCCCTCCTGGTGAGGAGGTAGGGCTGAGCCAATCCCAGCCTGACTTGCTGGGTTGTGGCATTACGAAAAGCCCCAGTGGGGGCTTACTGCCCCATGCTAGGAAGACCCCACTGTGGGGGTCAGTGCCAGGCTGAGCCACCTTCCCCTCCCCACCCCTCCAGTTTCTCATAGGGGTGGGGCTGAGCACATGCCAGCTTGGTGTGCCATTGGACTGGATTTAGCTCTTAGGCAGCTGGCCATGAGGGGTGGTGCATGTGAGCACTCCCCCAGGCTCCTGGCCTTGGCCAGTTCAGGCTTCTGTCTCTCTTGGCCACCCAAATACTGAACATCAGTTCAGTTTGTTATCAGGTCAAGCTCTGCAGCTTTAAAAAACCTGCAGTGATTGAGCTGATTCTGCCTTGGGCTTTTTGAACCTCTGTACTTAGCCCTGAAGTCAGTGGGAGCTTAGTCATTGTAATGGTTCAGTAGGAGATCAAGCCCTAATACATGGCAGTGTATTGTCAAACTTCTTGTTGATGTTCCTGTGTTCAGTGTCAAGGTCATTATTTTTCCTGAAATGTGCTCTCTAGACTATTAGTAGCAAAAAGATTAGAGCTAATTTGGATCCACAATTACACAACTTTCCTCCCAGCTCTAGCCATGTTTTATACAATTTCCCTAAACAGACTTCCATACTCTCCTACAGTTTATTTCTTAACCAGCTCAGCCATCTCCACCCAATCAGGTGTATGGCAATCAGTTGTGAGGTGCTTTGTTACCTGTTGCTTCCCTTCCAAATCACTTTCAGTCAAAGCGACTGAGGAGGTGTGTCGCAAAGATCCAAGAATTTTATCTTAATACATCCCTTGTAAATATTTTATGCATCAGATATAAACAGCCCGATAAGTTACACCTGTGATTTATTGAGAATTATACCTATGTGTTTCATCTCCTGCTATCAAGTAGGAGACAACAATTGCTCACAGTCCTAAGGCCATTTTGTATATTAAGCAGTCAGACTACTTTTCTGTTAACCATTACAGGCATTGAAGGTGGAGCAGTGAAAGTTCATGGAGCAAAAGGATCACCTCCTTCAACATTTTATAAGGTACTCTTTTTATCGTGTTGATAATGATATAGTATGAAATGCACTTGATTTGTGAAATTTGGTATTTTGGAGGAAAAGGATATACCATCTTCAGGTGAAACTCTTATTTTTTTCATTCTTTGAGAAATAGATGTAACTAAGGTTAATTTATAAGCCTTTTAGGAAGACCATAGTGCAACATGGTAGTGTAGACTAACATTGCATTTTAAATATAAAATGCTGTTTTTAGTCCCAATGTCTTGTTTAATGAGGGCTTTCAGTCATTTTTAATTTACACACACATCTAGTCCTGCTTTACTGTAAAAAGTACATACAGGGCTTAATCCTATTCCCATATAAACCAATGGCAAAATCTCAAGTGACTTTCATGAAAGCAAGGTTGGTCCTATAAATTAAACCACTTAGTGAAGTGTTACCATAGCTGAGCTTATATGACTGAATCCATTTTGAAAAAATACTTTTTTTTAGAAAACAGTTATAACGTAAAAAAGCACATAGTATTGTTTGTAAAATAGTACTGCTTATACACACATTTTTAAAGTACATCAAGCACATTTTAATTTTTTGCCAATTTGAAAGAATAATGTATCAATTTTAAAGTATGACAAATATATAACATTTATTTCAGATTTTCAAAAGAATACGGTATTCAAAGTAGAGAAGGTATAGTTTTGGCCACAGTGACTGCAGTGTAGAAAACAAAAAAATCTTTAAAATCATTAATTTTGAGTATATTTTAAATTAATGAATATCCCTATTTCATGTTTCTCAGTTATTCATACACTTTTCAAATTTTTCATTTGTTATATTCCTAATAATAATTCTGTTAGCTTTATGATGAAACATTTTGTTGTTCTTAATCATCAGTAATTTAGCAACGTAATCAATAACTAAATTTTTCCACAATATCATCTAGTTAATAATGCCTTGAATTCATAATATGTATGTATGTATATAATTTCAGTTGTTTGTACAAAATACCCTGTTCTGCCCTTCATGTTTTCAGTCTCTTGCATATTAAATAAGAACTTCAAGAAACACAATGTTAAAATAACAATTTCCACTTGTGTTATATGGTCTGTACTTGGGAGACCAAGTCTTTTTCAGATCTGGAAAAAAAAAGGTTTTTTCATCACTGGGAATACCTTTAAAAATAATAATTGAGAGGATTTTGAAATAATTTTTCAAAATTAGATCTAACCGGTCCTAATTGTGGGCTAACTATTTCCGGTTTAGAAAAAAAAAAAGCATTTAAAAAATAAAACACATTCTAAAGATTCTGGACATTTTATTTAATACAAAATTAATGTCAAAATTCTACTGAAGTTCCTCATCATAACTACTATTTTAAGCTGTGCATTTTTTCTTTCAAACCAAGGAACATTTTACAAAATCTGGAAGATTTTTTCCAAGTAGAATGTGCTTTATAGATATTTTTTCTTTTTTAAACTTTTTTTTAACAACTTTCTTCAGCAGTCTTCTTTGGGTCCAGTTATCACTACTAAAGTTTCATCTCTTCACTTTTACACCTATTTAGCCAATGCTAAAAGTATCAACGACAATTAAAATATGCAGCAATGGAGCCCCATATTACCAAATGAGTCACAATAAATATCAATAGAAAGGCTTTAATTCCAGCCGTATCTAGCAGTACAAGTGCATAGCTCCAGATAGCCAGTTAAATTAGGAAACAAATAAGGTAGATATACATAAATAAAAAAGACAGTGCATATTTAACCCTTTTTTCTCATATAGAGTATGTTACCTTTCAAGACAATATAGTAAGAATAATTATTCTACAGATCTCAAATATTAAGAGATGTTTAGAACATATACTACAGCTAAAATAATAGTCTGAAAAATCAATATTATGTTAGTAAAATGTCCCCTCATATTTTTTTCAGTTCTGTAGAATATTGTGTTTACTCAGGTGCTAAGTTAACATATTGATGGATGGATAGATATTTTGTATGCATTTGCGCGCGTGCTCACACACACACACACACACACACACACACACACACACACACACAGAGCTAGGGCTTTTATTATAAGATGTATGAAGAAAGAACCCGATATATACATTTTGACTAAGTGATGATTGGATGTGCATGATAACAAAGAAGACGCATACCACGTGAAGAGAAAAAAATTCTGCTTCTTTTTCTTCTGGATATATTGGTAATTACTGCTTGTTGACCTTTTAGAGTAAATCAGGGGCAAATCCCTCATTTTTATAACCTTTTATCACTAGGTAAATGCCACTTACCTCGATGGTTACAGAGCTACAGCTGTCTGCCCAGTAGGTGGGCCGAAGGCAGTGGAAAAAGGAAGGCGAACAGCAGAAAGCATTCTGAAAAGGTTAGTATTCAATACAGATTCACTTTATTTTACCTTTTAAACATAAAATCAAAATAAATTTGTAAACTGTACTAAGATGGCAGTCACATCAATCTAAGAGGCTGCCTAGAAGATGGAATTATTTAAAATGGTTGGAGAAATCAAGACATAAATTGTATAATTTAGAACCTGTTTTTTTTTTTTTACTGAACTCATTATAGAGCTATGAAATATCAGTAACATTACTTATCAAAAAACAGGCAATAGGCAAGAAGTTAGATGCATTTGTTTAGGCTGGTGGTGGTGGTGGTGCTCAACCTTTTCACTCGATGGGATGGATGGGCAGTGCCAGATCTAACCATGGGCCAGATGGTGGTTCTGATCCAGCACCTGGGGCCAGCATGGCGGGCACTATTCAGCCATGGTGGGAGGAGGTCAGCCTGAACTGAGCCTAGCCCAGCAGGGGGGAAAGGGGCTGCACTTAGCCCTGCAAGGTGGAAAAGGGGGCATGGTCTGCTAATGGAAAAGGGGGCATGGTCCAGTCCCAACCCAGCCCCACAGGGGGAAGAGGGTGTGGCCCTTCCACACAGGGGGAAGGAGGTGCGGTCTGGCTCTGCAGGGCACACAGGACTTGGGGTTTGTGAATTTGGCAGGGGGGTCACTGTATTAATGGCTTCCCACAGCCAAGTTTCTGGACCCATGGGGAGCCCTGCGGTCCTGACGCAATGGCTCTGTGGGCTGCATTTGGCCTACAAGCTGGAGGTAGAGCATTCCTGGTTTAGATAACTTTCATCATAAGCTTTGTCCAGTAAGGTTAAGTCACTAGTGATGCTTATCTACTTTTGACTAATGCCAGTTTCTAGCTGTAAGGCAGCCTGACAGCCTTGCTATCCATTTCAGCACCTCAATGTATTTCATCTATTTTATTTATTCAAGTATAAAAATTGAACTACAAGTGCCCATCCAGGGCTTTGAGTGCCTGATCCATATATTTAAATGCTGCAGCATAATATACCACCCATGAATATATCCATTTCTACTTCAGCCCTCATATTCCTCAACAGCTTTGACAAAGAGAGATTTAGACCATGAAGAGAGATTTACATCTCAGCTAAACAGGTTATGAACACCTCTGATTTTTATAGGCTAAAACCAACACACTGAATTTCATCCAGTAAATTATTGGAAGCCAGTGTAATTCCCAAAGCATTGGGCTAATGTGCTGCTGATATACAGCTCCTCTCAATAAACTGTCTTCAGCATCTCTTCAGATTCAGCTTCTGACATATGTAATTATTATTCTTTATTCCTTTTCTTTATTCCTTGCTTCCTTCCTCTCCATTGTTCAAAATGAATAATTTAAAAAAATGTGTAAAGAAGCAGTTATTTAAAGCAGCCTTTATTGTGCCTCAAGAAGTTATTTTAAAAACATTTAATGCATTTGCTGCATTCTAGTGCGTTGTAAAAGCTTGAAATATGCTCTTTAAGATTACCGGTATGCTATAAGTACACTAAGTAAGAGAAGATTTCGGCAATCCTCAGAAAAGGGAGCAGATTCCATTAAAATCAAGGACTTTCCCACAATAAGCAGTGGTGAATGGTTTAAAACTCTGGTTGAATGAGAAACTAAGCTAGCCGCTACAAGGAATCTAGACAGGAAATCAGGATAGTTATAATATCCATTTACACAGGTTCTCTGTACAGCATCAGTGCTTTTAGTGCTAAAAGAAACTCACTGCAAGTCTGGTCAAGGATGGGTCAGGGGCCCCAGCTAAAACTGCTTAGGACTAAAATTTGTGCAACAAATATATTTTAAATTTTCATGTCTACAGTTAATTTTAGATGTTATATATAACTTGTCTTTGGGAATGTGCTGTGTTCTGTTACTCAGCACATCTGACCACTTTTATTTTGGTGTTTAGATATAAGGTTTGATACCTAATTTTAGGCATCAGTTTCAATTTTCACGAACAGTAAGTAGAAAATATATAATTTAATATAAATTTAATTTAACTTAATTTTATCTATTTAAGGTAATCTTACCTGTATAATTTAATATTAAATTCCTTTACTCTGGTGCCATATAGATGCGTCATTAAATATAGAAAGAAAGTGTCTTTTAAACTGCTCCATGGGTATGAAAGATTCTATCAGTCCAAACATAATTTCCATGGTTGAATTGGTAAAATCTCTTAAAACAGTGGAAGGAGGTGAGGGTGCCAGATACGGTGATGCTCTTCAAATGCATTGACCTCATCTGTCTGATATGTTGAAGGGGCACTGAAGCTATTAAATGGAAACTGTTACGGGCATTTTATGTTTTTTTTAAGACTCTTGTATGGTATGCTCACAAAATTGACATTTTTTTCTCTCTAATAATGCTGCCTTTTTCTCATATTGTCAAAGTTTTATAATGTACTACAATTTCAATCGAGGTAGAGTTTATATGACTATTTCTGTTTTATTTAAATACTGATTGTACACCAGTATACTTGAATATGTCAAGCTTTTGGGAAAGAATTAAGTATCTCTTTTCCTAGCTGTGCAAAAATTAAGAATTATAGGTCCAGTAATGATATATTATTTTGAAGACTCTAAAAGCTGGCTTATGCAATTGTCCATGTCATAAGGCGAAACTGTAGAATGACTTGTTGAACATCATTGAATGAGCTTTAGAGAAATTGTTCTGTGGTCATTTTAAAATGCACTGTGGCTTAATGCACGTGATCGTGAGCCATTTGAATTAGAGCGTCTGTCCAGGAACCACTCTAATTAAAATGCCCTACTGCCATCGCCAAACACATGAAAGGCAGTCTTCTAAGTGTCTAAATCCACATAAGTGGCTAATTGGTGAAATAAGTGCAGGCCCTTAGAGTCAAGCAGTCAGGACAAATTTTGGAAGTACCTCACTTGACAGTGGGCACATCTACTAATTAACTCCACAGTAAATGTCTTGTTTCTAAATGTGCAGCCCTATTAGGCTGCAGGAAACGAATTAATTCTATAACAAGTATTTGTGAATACAAGTACTACCCTGCTGTGGAATTTTTCAAGCACAGCAGTGTATACGTAGGTGCTGACCCAGCTGACTGGGGCATGAGCGTGCTTCAGTGTAGGGGCTGCCTGCTGGCTAACCCTGCAGTGGAAAAAACTTGTGCCCCAGCCAGCCCCTCTGCAGCACATCGAGCTGAGTTGGAGCAGCTCCGGGCTGGTAGGCTGATCCCCTAGGCCTCCTGTCAGCTGGTGCTGGTCCAACCTGGCTCAATGTGTTGTGATCTCAGGTGCACATTCAAATGGTACACTCAGGAGCAATAAGCTCTGGCACAATAAGCACTGGGGTTAATTGCTTCAAATTAATTGTGTGTGTAGATGTGCCCATGTGTAGATACATCATTTGAATTGTATGTGTAGATGCATCATTTGAAATACAGTATAGCAATGTATTTGCTCAATGACAGGTATTTAAATCCAAACTTATGGAACATTCAGATTTTACATCCATGGGCTGTACTGGGATATTGCATATCATTCTTATGAAGTAGTTGGCTAATAAGTAAATTTGTTGCAGGACTCGCCTTATTTTCAGTCAACTTGGGTATGAAGATTACAGTGCAGTTAACATGCAGATTTTAGGTTCCGAAGAGACATATGGACCTCATGCAAAAAAGCATATAGATGGTGTAAGTACTAAATTAATCATTTTTAAAAGTGCATTAATCACTTTGAATCTCTATGTGTTCTCTTTTTCTAACTGTAAAAAAAATTATTGGAGGGAATTTCAGAGCTACTATCATGTAAAAATTTGTGTGTTTTTTTTTATAGAGGTGGTTAGCCATGTTAGTTGGAAGCTAGGCACTAGGTTGCACAGGGTGGAACCTTAGAGATTACCTGGTTCAGAAAGACATGGGCCTCACACAAGGATTTATTTCTAGTGGTGGAAAATCTCCACTGCTAGAAATGATTCTGAAAGAGGGAACAGTACAACTGTTCAGCCTGCAACTGCCCTCTCTCCCCTGCTCCTGGTGCCTTCCTGAGACTTGGGTAGTCCTAGTGTTGGGTAAGTCTGGAGAGTCCCCTAGTGTGGAGAGTGGGTGAGGACTTTGCCCAACTGTTCAGCCTGCTTAGTTCCTGAGCATTGGGAGCTGAACAGAGTGAGTGGCACCACAAGTCCCCACACTGCTCACTTGACCACTCACTGGAGTGTGCAGCCTGCAGGTAGCAGTGGGTGGCTGCTCCTCTTTTCCCGGTCTATAGAAGAATCAGGATCAGGTGCCTCCAGCACATTCTCCAGGCTGGGGTGACCCTAGTCTCCAAAGGTATAGGATGTTTGTTTCCTTGATGTTTGATTCTTCTTGGTCCCTGGGAGGAGTCAAACAAAGTGTACAGGCAGTTGTTCTCCTGAGAGAAACTTGCCTGAGGGTAGCTTCTACCTGGTAGGACTTGGGTTACTTTTCTCCTAAAAGTGCCATTTTTGTTCTGGGAGAGACTATGTGAATGCCTGTACATGCATGGTTTCTACCAGGGGAGCTGTAATTCTCCTGGTAGAAATGTAACACCTGTATGCAGCCATGAGCTTTTGTAGGCAACAACCAACTTTGTCAAGCGCTAGGAATGGACTGATGCTGGGAATGCAAAATTAAGACTACTTGTGCAACTATAATTAGCCCCCCTTGTGAGTATGCATTTTGTTACAGTCTTAAATTACATGTTCATATTATGTATCACAACAATTGCATACAGATATAAATGGGATGTGTTGTTTGCTAACACCGTGTCTGTAATCTCTATTTTTAATTGATATGTGAAAGCCTAAAAAAGAAAGCAGTAAATCTTTGTATTTCCTGTTATACATTTGTAGTACAACTTGTTACAAAATGGTAGTATCTAAATCTTTTTTGTCAGCTGTAAAATTTTATAAAGCAGCAAAGGTATATGTCAGACAACACTCAGTTCTATGAAACTAGTGAGAAGACCTGCACTTTAAAATTGCTAAATAAGTACAGCTGATGAGCTGTTTATGAACTGTTAATTTCTACAGCAGAGTTAATTAATGTATCATTGCATCTGTTAATTTAAATGCTTGGATTTAATTTCCTTCTGCGGTGTAGTTCCCTCCCCACTGAACTAGCTTTATAATGGTTATACAGCTGTCCAATAATTTTGTTTCCCAGGATCATACATAGTCTACTTTAATCTGATTCTTTTAAATACACAGAAAACTGTATTAAAAGAACCTGATCAGGGTTGTGAAGTCAAGCATTCGAAAGTTGTGAAATTTCAAGGAACCTTAATTTGGACACTGTGCACATACATTTTGTTGCAGTTTTGAAATGCATGATTGCATGCTATTTTATTAAACACCATTCACCTGAAAAGAGCTATTTGATAGTTTGTGTTATGCTCATTGTTAATTGATGTCTTTCCCTCCTATTTACTGTATGCCAGGGGTTTTAAACCTTTTTTAACAAGTGTACCCCTTTTGTCTCAAAGTTTCAGCTCATGTACCCCTTTATATTTTTTCTTGTTTTTAATGTTACCTGTTATGTTCTTGGCTGCCATTGCCTGCCTTGAGCACAGCCCCGGGAAGAGCCCAGCGCTGCCCCAGCCCCAGCCCGCAGCGGCAGCCCACCATTGCCCTGCACGCAGATCCGGGGGCACATGCTCCCCATGACTCCCTGGGGTGCATGCAGCGGCAAGAGCCGCCACATCGCCCCTTCCTTCCCCACGCCCCCTGCTGCCCCAGACAAGCTGCTCTCAGTTCCATCCCATGCCATGCCCTGGCTGTACAGCGCCTGCCCCAGCCCCACCCCCACTCCCTCCCTCGTTGCGGGGGCCTCAACCTGCCCCCCACCATGCCCCTTCCCTTACAGACTTACCAGCTGGACCCAGCTGCTCTGCAGGCTGCTGGGCTGTGCTCCCAGCTGCCCGTGTGCTGCTCTGCAGCTTGTGTACATGCACAGGGCATTTACTGGCCACGCCAGTCAAAAAAAGACAATTGCCGATACTTGTACATTCATTCTGTGTACCCTCTACTGTGTACCCTCTACAACCTTTTTAAGTACCGCTAAGGGTAAGCATACCCCCGGTTGACAACCATTGCTGTATGCTATTGAAATTCTTCAATTTCCTCATGGATTTTTCTATTATGCTTATCATTGTAAGAAATGAATGCTTCAAATCATTAATTTATATTCACAAAACTCCTGTCCCACAAGAGGAAATAATTGTTCTTATTTTACAGATGGTAACTGAGGTACAGAAAGTATATGATCAAGTGTCTATTAGTTCTGAGAACCAAATTTGAGATTGATTTTTTCAGAGAGATTAGCATTATATAACGTGTACATATTTATAGTTCCTATTGGCTTTATTTTGCTCTGGGAGTACTAACTACTTCTGCGAATAGGACAGCAGTGCCTCGAGTCAGCCCCCCAGAAAAGGAGGTTCACACTATTTCTCACCATAAGTGAGAAACTTGGTTTGGACAGTATGCCTTGCATCATGTGGCAACTCCTAGGCAGAGATAAAAAAAAAACCCCAAACCAACTTTCCTAAATTGCTGACACTACAAAACTGGTTTTGTTTTATATCCCCTTGCCTCATTCACTAACACCTTACAACATCTCAAACAATATGACTGTACACCTTTATTCTTCCCTTAAACACAGTCAATCATGCATTCAGAAGCAGGGGTTCTGTTTTAAAAAGTTTGTGATCAAGTCAAGTCTATTATAATGCATTAATGCGAAGTGTCTGAACTGAGGTTGCTTATGCAACTGCAGATCTGGCATTTTCTAAATTCGAAGTCCTTTATTTTGCAACATTAGTAGTGTTCATTTACCATCCTTTTTTCTGTGAAATCTCCATGGTTTTTGGGAACCCCCCCCCTAAAGAAATATATCAAATTCCTTCTCATGACAGTAGATGGTCATCAGCATGGTTCATCCACAGGGTTTGAACCTTTAGATCTGACCTTTAGATCACTTGATAGGCATCTGTGCTGTGATATCAGTATTTGTTTGTCATCCTCCATGTCTCTCTTTGGATAAGTACCGGAGGGAAATAAATATTTTGCCCCTCCTTTACCATCTCCCAAAGTCCTTATCCCAATCTGCATCTTTACCCCCTCAGGTCCACATCTTGGTTCCTCTGCCTTTAATCAGGCAGCTTCCTCCTCAAAGCTGCCAGGATCCAGCAAGGGGAGCAGGCACTGAAAGCACAGCATAAACAGAGCCGTGGCACACGTTCCATTTAGGACATATATTGTGCCATAAAACTGACTCATTAACAACTTTACAATATTTTAGGAAGTTTCACAAAGATTTTACCAAGTTTTGAACATGAATCTGAACATTTCTTCTTAAGAATATTATTTGAGGTAAAAATTGAATTCCAAAGGACAAGGCAGGAAGCTGTACAGTTTTCTGAAGTTTGGGAATATCCAGCATTTGTTTTCAGGGGGTGCATCTACACATTGTGCTGAACTGTACAGTAGACTAATTTGCTGTGGTATAAAGTGTCACAGTCTACACGTGTGACTCTATTAGACTGCTACAAACTAATTTTCACCCCATTAAGGTAGTACTTTCGGGGACAGTACTTCTTACTGTGGCAAAAATAACCTGCCTAAATGCACGTGTAAACACTGACCCAGGCATACATTGCACCCAGGCTGCAGGGGGCCAGACCCCTGCCTGCTGCCTAGCTGCATGGCTCCGCATGTGAGGCATTCTTGGGCCCCAGCCACCTCCTCTGCTGCCCAATGCTATGACCCAGAGCTCATAGCTGACCCCTTGAGCCTGCTGCCAGCCTGCAGCTGCTCCGTCCTAGCTCAAATTGCTGTGGTCCCAAGTGAACATGTAGATGCTGCGCCTGGGAGCCATTAACTTTGGTACAGTTATCCTCATCTTAATGACATGTGTAGATACACCCAGGATAACTGAAGAAAAGAATTAGAAAAGATTTTAACAAAAAGATGGATGAAAATTATGTTACTGCTTAGTATTAGTACATAGTGGGTGTGTCTATACATGCACTTTACTGTGCAGTAGACTAATTTACTGCATAGTAAAGCATCACCATCTACACATGCACAGCATTTGGCCCAGTGTAGACTAACTTACAGTGCCATCAGATAGTGCTGTCAGACAGAGGTACTTTCTGATGGTGCAGTAAATTACTATGCTTAAACGTATATGTAGACAGTGACATCAGGATTAGATTACTCCGGCTTAAATTGCATCAGAGTTTATTCAATTGCATTAATTGCATGCATAGACATGCCCAGTGACTCTTTTTATAGAGTTTCAGCTACGGTAATGACAGTTCATCTTTGGAAGATTCCATATGTTTAAATTTACTAGAGCTATGCATATTAAGTAAACCTTTGCTTATGACTCTTGAATTCATAATTTATAATATTTGGAAACAGGGTCCCCGGGAAGTGGTTATCTGGCTTGCTGTACACCATAAGCAGAAAAAGGCTGTGGAAATCTTCTCAAAAGAGATTGCACCAGCTGGAACTGGAATGGGTAAATAGTCCTATCTCTTTCTCTAAGTATCTGGCTCTTACTTTGAGTTTGATCATTAATATTAAGGTAGCGCTTATAATACGTGCCTCATTGTGTTGATTGTGGCAGGTCACTTGGGGTGCCTGCCACTTTAAGAGATTAGGCAGTCTGCAAAGCCAGCAGCTGCGGATCACAAAAGAGTGGGACCATGCGTGTCCAGAGACCCAGAGAGGGGCCAGGAGAGATTTGGTCTGTGCAGGTCCAGAGGCCCAGAGAGGGTCCAAGGGCTTAGAGTATGAGAGGACCAATGAACCCACAAGTAGAGTGTATGAGGAAAGCTGGGATCAGGTTCAGCACCCAAGGCTGCACCCAGGAGTAGCCAGGATGGGCAAAGTGCCCGGGTGTGGGCAGAGAGAAGCCACACCTGGAAATAGTCATGATGGGCAAAGTGCCTGGGGTGTGGATAGAGAGTGCCACACCTGGGAGTAGCCAGGATGGGTGAAGGGCCTGAGGTTGGGGAGAGGGTCACACCTGGGAGTAGCCATGAGGGGCAAAGTGCCAAGGTATGGGCAGCAAAAGCCAGTTCAAGTGTGAACTGTAACACCTGTAGGGCTGAAAGGGAGAGTGGGACTAGAAGGGTCCAGAGGCCCAGCGAAGGGCTGGGAAATAGTGCGAGGCCCAATGTAGGGTCAGAGGCCAGGAAAAGTGGGAGACCAGAAGTGTCCAGGAGGAGACCAAAGGGGTCTGCCAGCCCAGAGAGGGACCGAGTGAGAAACCGAAGGGCCTGGCAGCCCAGGGAGGGCTTGTGCAAGAGACTGAGGGGTCTGAAGGCCCAAAGTGGGGATGGCTGAGGCCAAAGGGTCTGAGGGCCCAGAGAAGGGCTGTGTGAGTGACAAGAAGGAACATCAATGAAGATGACATCTGCGAGGCCTGGGATGTGGTGTAGGGGCAAAATAGAGCCATGCAATTGGCCCATAAGGCCTTCACCACTAACCTGATGGTCATTATGATAAGACCAGGGCAGCCTCCCACACTCTTTTTGACAATTAACATCAAGGCATGGTGGGTGAGGGCAGGGCAGACTGCCTGTAGAACAGGGTACAAGTCATTTTTTTGTCTCTAGGTGCTTTACGGCCACCCCTGGAGATAGTACTTTGTCATACCATGATCTATGTAAACCCAAAGTTAATATGCTTACATGTTTTTGTTAAAATGAGGCCTAAGACACGGACAAATTTATAGATGTTTATTTTGTTTAGTCACCTTTTGCTCCTCTGATGCTTTTCAGCCTTCTGCTGTTGCTACTTTCTTTTCTTGCTTTCATCAGCTTTTTAATGTCCTTGCACACACTAATTAAGGTCATGGCTTTACTCTGCTTCATTAAATTACTAAAATGACTAATATTATTAATTTGTTAATTTATATAATTATATTTGATGATGTGCTGTTGCTTTCAAAAGTTCTGAATGAATTAGTCTATAACACCCCTGACAGATGCTACATTTAAAGTGTGATTATGGAGCAATGCAGCAAAGTGTGTTCATGGAGCAATAAATTGCAACATGCTGTATGTTCAAACAATTTGTCATGTGATACCAAGTTGCAAAAATGGCAATCCAGCAACAAAGTCTAAATGTAGACTATTGTCTTGTTTGTACAGCACTTTAATTTGAACGCGTAGCATGTTACACACAGGGGCCAGTGTTTGGCCAGGTCCTCCAGCATCCCAGGGTGGACTACTTTTCCCCCCAGCCCTTCTTCCTGCAAGGGACTCTCTATGACTCATGCTAAACTCTGCTGCCTGAACTCTGCTGCGTCAGGACATGCTTTTCTTGCACACAATAGGAGTATGTTGGGGATAGAGGAAAAGCATATATACAAAAGTACCTTTATAAGGTGTCTGGGAAGAGTTTTAGCCCTGCCGCTTCCATCTCCCCAGCTTTGCATAGGTCTCCCCTGCTTTGTGAAAAGGTCAGGGGAGCTCAGCTGGTGAGCTCAGAACTCACTTTTCATTAGCAGCATT